GATCCTGGCTGTGTCCCTGGCTACCCAGTACTTTGCTGCACCCCGGGCTGAGCCCGCGCCAGGCTCGGCCCATGCACACCCAGAGCGAGGAGTTCCTGCCTCTGGGATGGCACGGGGAGAGCAGGGTGAGAGCTGAGCCCCTGATCACCCATGTCCCCGAGGGGCACCCAGCCCTGCAACAGACTCATCCCACCAGGCACCCAGCGGGTGCCGGCACAGCTGGGGGAGTTTGCAGCAGGCCTGGGGTCCCCCAACGCGCACGAGTCCGTGCGAAACTCCCCATGAGCTGCAGCAGTGGCTCCTGGCCACCTGCACCTGACTTTGCCACCAAGGTGTCCCCTGGGCTGCCACGCTGTGACCCAACGGCCCAGGCTGCTCTGGCTCCCACTGTAACTCATGGAGCAAATATGGCCCTTCTCCCAGGAAGGTGGTGGCTCTTTTCCTTCCTGATAAATGGGAGCGGGATGAGTTTTGCGGCGAGCAGGGGCTGAGCCCACTGCTGCCTGGCTGCAGCGTGGACAGGGGTGTTTTGCATGGCTCGTGTTGCTCCCCAAGCCCCCCACCCCCTCCCACAGTAGAGAGAGAAGAAGAAAAGAGTCTTTACGCACCATGGGACTTACCCCGAAATTGGAGGCGGCAAAGCGGTCGGAGGCATTGACATTGGTGGAGGCAGTGGTGTGGGCATAGTAGGCATTGATGTTGGCAAGCAGGGTGCTCATCACTGCTGGCACCCCTGGGCACATGTACTTGGAGGAGAGGCAAGCAAAATGCCTATGGAGAGAGGAGGAAGGTGAGGGTGCAGAGCTGTGGGAGGGGCAGGGTTGGGGGTACATGAATCAGAGAACCACAGAATCCTAGAATGGCCTGAGCTCAAGGGACCCCCAGGGATCATCAGTCCAACTCCTGCCCAGGACACCCCAACACTGCACCCTGTGCCTGAGAGCATTGGCCAAACACTCCTGGAGCTCTGTCAGCCTTGGGGCTGTGACCACTGCCCTGG